GAAGAGCGTAGCAAACACCAGCAACGAGATCCGACGAAGAGCTTAGGTCCTCACCAATAATTCCTGTTGTCCTTCAAAGTACAGAAACCACGTTGAGCTGTTCAGGTTTACAGCTATTGAGGACCCAGCTGTTTCCAGAGCTCCTCAGAAGCCGTCTCAGGAGGTCAAGACAGAGCTGAAGGCAGGTGATTGATTTCCCCCGGGGCGTGGGTTGGGAATTGCCCTCAGCTGGGGATGGTTGCTGGGGGATGCTCCTTCGCTCTTGAAGCGCCCAGGCAGTTGCTGTGGTGGAGCTCTTCTGCTCTGGGTGTTATGCAGCGGAGAGGTGAGTTAGTTTTTACTGGCTATTTCTTTCTGATGATATTCACCAATTTCAGAGGAAGATCTCTGTGTCTTGGGCTGCTGTGTGTTCCTGCGAGTCTTCAGCCGTTATTCTCAAATTAGGCCAGCAAAGTGCAACTGTGTGTGCCCAGAGCTCAGCTCTTTTGTTTCTCTTCTTACTGAGAGCAGAATTTGTGAATCCCTGTTTTGCTTGAGTTGGCTTCTTCAGGATTGTGTTAATGCTTCAGTTCTTTTTCTTATAATTCAACAGTGGTGTCTTCTGGTAATGTGAGTAGTACGAGTGTAGGATTCATTTACATCCTTTCTTTATGCTTGGAGAGTATTGCTCTTGTGAAATCCTGAGCATTTGCTGTAAAAAGAGAATGATGTTTATAGGAAGGTCACGCACCTGGAAGAACTCAGCTTCTTACCAAGCAGTGAGAAGGTTTGTCTTTAAAAAAAATCTGAGCTGCTCTGATGTGATATTTTGAGTTACTTTCCCTGTAAGGAACTTCAGGTGCTGGGTTATGCTGTGTAAGAGGCGTGTTGGAACTTTATAAGCTGCTGTATAAAAAAAAATTGTGTTTTTAGATGGCAATATCATGAAAGGAAGCTGGCTAGACTTTGTCCGATTATGTATTTTTGAATATCTCTTGTTTTAGTCCTGGGGTCTCCTGCCTGGAGAAGATACAACACAGCAGCAGTTACAAAACATGAGTTGCGTGATTCCCCCTGCTTCTCCCCAGTGTTCCTCTGTGTTGCAGACCCAAATCGTCACAGGCGTTAGGAGGTCCCCAGGCCACGGGGTTGTTGTCTCGTCCTGGGGAGACTGCTGTGGGTAGCTGACCTTGGTCCAGCGCATGGTTGGCATGGGGCTGCCCGCTCTGTGGGACACCAGCGGTTCTCCAGCCCCGAGATCTCAGCGGGTGCGCAGAGCCTGTTGGCAGTGGCGAGAGGCAGTCTATATATAGTATGTATATCTCAGCCTGGAGAAGAGAAGGCTCCGGGGGGACCTTAGAGCAGCTGCCAGTGCCTGGAGGGGCTACAGGAAGGATGGAGAGGGGCTTTTCACAAGGGTGTGGAGTGATAGGACAAGGGGGAATGGCTCTAAACTAAAAAGAGGGCAGATTTAGATTAGATATTAGGAAGAAATCCTTCCCCATGAGGGTGGTGAGGCCCTGGCAGAGGTTGCCCAGAGAAGCTGTGGCTGCCCCCTCCCTGGCAGTGCTCAAGGCCAGGTTGGATGGAGCTCTGAGCACCCTGGTCTGGTGGAAGATGTCCCTGCTCATGGTAATGGGCTGGAACCAGATGAGCTTTAAGGTCCCTCCCAACCCAAATCATTCTATGATTCTATGCCTATATGTAAAAAAATCCTAGTGCTTTTAACCCCTTCCTCTGTCAAGACTGTAAAGCTGAGGTGGCCACAGATTGCCCTCCAGAAATCTCATCCCCAGGGAGCTTCATTCTGTATTGTTAAAAACAGGGAGTGCCGCTGGTGCGGAGGTTGGGCAGGGTGCTGCCTGCGCTCGGCCCGCTGAGCAACAAAGGAAGCGTGGTTGATTTTTGCAGGTTTGCGTTGTTCAGTTTTCACTGAAAGCCCTGGCCCCTTCCTCCTTGTCTTCCCATCGTTGCTCTGTGGTTGAATGCACAGAATTTTCCATAGAAAGCCAAAACCATTTCAGCTTTTCCATTTTATTCGTGTAGCTGCAGATTCCCTAAGAAAACTCACATTTACAGAACACATTTGAATCTTTCCTGAAAATATTTAGCTCAAACCCCCTGTGCCTCAAGACTGAAGGCGTGGCATGGGGCGTAGGATATAAAACTTTATTACCTGTATATTCAGCAAATCTTTTCCAGTGTGTGTAGCCTGGAGGCAATACGGGGAGGAAATCGAACTTGTTCGCTTCGTTGCTGCAAATCGTTGGACGTTATTTGGCAGTGCTGGCAAGCCTGATGGTGAGAAGTGCGGGATGTCCAGCTTCCATCTCAAAAGCTGTTTGGTCATCTCAACGACATGAGGACAGAGTCGTACCTGTGAGTTTTAGTACTCAGATTTATGCTCTGCCCTGCTCCTCCACTTCCACTTCATTCCAGGACCGTGTCAAAAGCAAAATACACTTCTGCAGAGTAAAGAAACATTCTGGTAACTCCAGGAGCTATTGCTTGCCTCGGAGGCAATCTCTTTTATAGCAAGCATTTTCGATAGTGAAAAAAAGGAGACAAAACCGATACCTATTCTCGACTTGGAGGACTGGCACCTCTGTTCAGGAGCTGAAGTCCCAGTCTAGTTCAAGGGGTGGTGTTGGTGCCACTATGGCTTCATCAAGAGAACCAAGTGCCTGCTTTGTCTCTGTAGGGTGCTTTCTTTCACACTGTAATGAAATAGTTTCACTGGATACGGCCTTGTTCTGCCTTAGGTGAGGATCATTTCTAGGAGAGGCTCTTCTGCTTTCTGTATTCAGGGCGATGCCTGTCCTTCTGGAGATTCCGGGCTGAAGTAGTTATCACCCCCTAAGAGGGAGGAAAGAAGTAATCAATGATCCTGGGTGGTTCCTGGGGTGGAGGGGGATATGCAGCCCCGTATTCAGTGTGAAAGCTGTAAAGGAGTGATGTTCTGCAGAGGCTGCTGCATGCATGTTTGTTACCAACACAATACGCCTTTTATTGGAAGCAAAGCCTATGTGCCAGCTAATTATGAGAGCATAAGATGAACCTACAACATCTAGAATCGAAGAAGTAAGAAATTGCTCAAGTTAAAATCCTTTGCCCCCCACCACCCTCCACTTGACTTCCTAAGCAGAACACTCCTGCTTTTATCTATGTTCCAAATCCCACCGTGGGCTGATTGCAACAGAGCTGGACACAGCAAAGTACAAGGGGTGCCATTTACACCTTGTCTTTATCTGGCACCTGTAGGCGTGATGGTCTAGCCAAGCGAAACACCATCGCTGAACATCAAAACAAGTTATCTTAAGACAACACAATCACCCTTATCTTAACACAGCAAACTTAGGCTGCAGTGACCTGCTTAAGCAGCACTTTGGAGTAAGGCAGGGAACTTGCTACATCTGCCCACAGGTAGCAAAACAGAATGCATGGGCTTTTAGAAGGCCCCCGTTGATTCCCTGCAGCTGCTTTGTGCAAGGCCCTGCTCCCAAGATGCTGCGCATTGTACAGCTCACTTGGGGTCTAGTGGAGTTTTACGTTTTGGAGCACAAATTCTCCCTTGACTCCGGGAGTCGAGTGTCTGGCATGGGCTCGTCCAGGCTTTTTCTTCAGAGAGCGCTATCCTTCTGTGGGGTCAGTTCTCCTGAGATGACTCCATCTGCAGCCTGCCCCTCAGGTGTGACTCTTGTGGTGGCCCCACAGAGCAGAGACAGCTGTTAAGTCCAAGTCCCCTTTTGAAGTCGTGCTGCCTGATATTTCATATCCTGTTCTGAAAGGGATGGGGATTTCCTTTGGGTCAAGGGCACATAGTGACTCCTTTTGCCTTGCACTTGCAAGGGAAAAGTTCTTCCACTCCACCAGGTTTCTGTAAGGGTCTGTTTGGGACACTTTCTCCAGCCAAGGACCCTGTCTCCCAGTGGAATTTTACCCCATGGTCGTCTTTTCCTAAACAGGCCAACACTGCAACGGGTTGTTGGCTCCTATCCCATCTTCATCTTTTCCTGACTACTTTTAGGTCGTTCATGCAATAAGGTTGTGGTTGACTGAACGATTTTGAAGAACAGCTGTGAAGCACTGACAAGTAGTCCTCTCAGACTAAAGCTTGTACTTGTTTTTTGGGTGTTTTTTTTTTTTTTTTGAAAGCAAGAAGGAAAAATGTCAGTTTTTCCAGTTTTCCCATTTTCTTGCTTTCCATGGACTAACACTCCCTATGTGTGCTGGAGATGGAAGCACACACGGTCAGGCTGAGCTCCTGAACAGAGAAGCTGAGTGGGACGTGCCGTTGGGTGGCCGCAGTACCGGGGGGGCTGGCTGGGATAGTGCTTTGCCCGGGAAAGACCCCTTACCCTTCTGGGGCAGCAGATAGAGACCAGGCAGGTTACCTAGGGTATCTCATGGCATTAGATGCTTGCTTTGAGGCAGCTGAATCGCATCTGTATCTCCGCGTGCCTGTACAATCAGAAACGCTTAGGGTGCCGGCTGCTTCTAGAGACTTAAGGATTTGCTCATCTGTCTTTAGAGGGAAAGGTAGGTGATACTGCTCCCCCCATAGAAGGGAGCGTTCAGGTTTGCCTACCTGGCAGAAATACATGGTAAGGGGGAAAAAAAAGCACTGACAGGAGTCTAAAATGGCCTCCCTGCTACAAATGAGTTGATGGAACTAGACACAATGGCTACAGTTGATTATCAAACCCATATAGGTGTTTTATAGGGAAAGGATACAGAAGAGAAAGGAGGCAATGCCTTTCCTTTCTACCACTGCTGCACTGTGTGACTTGTTCATTCTTGCTTTGCAGAACTAAACAGTAAACTGGAACAATGTAGGTATGCGAAGTGTTTCTCCGTTGCCCATTTAAGAAAAGACAACAATAGAATTGAAAAGGAACTATAAAAGGAACTTTGTGCACCCTTACGTGAAGGGAAAAGGTGCTTAAGATCAACTGACAAATGATCCTTGCTCAAATTCACCAAAGTTTTAAAACTTGAATATGTTTGTGAACGCCTCGGGGTAACACAAACTCTTCTAAACCAACACATAACTGTGACTAGTATAGAAAATTTCGGGGTTTTGTGTTCATGGACTGAAACTAAAGACATACTAGAACATCACACTGCTTTAGTGACACAGAACTGAAAAAGTTCTCTCGTAGGAGCTTCCTGCAATGAAGGGCTGATTTAGATGGTGGCTTTTCAAGAGACATCTCTAAAGTCAATAGCTTTTTAAAAACAGTTTAAGAAACAAAGTGTCTCAAAGCAGATCTGTTTGCAACTCTTTGCAAGTGAAGAGATGCTTGATTTGTGGCTGACAGTGAGAAAAAAATATATTTTTTCTTATTTAGGCTGAGCAGTCCCTTTGAACATTCTCTTCATCAGTAATTACAATTGTTGAAGTAAAGCCCATATGTACCACTCGTAGCAACCCTTTTGTGTAGGGAGCACTGCAGAGCTTTGCCTTACGGTAGTCACCAGCAGACAAGGACAGATGCAGATTTGTAAAGCTTTTATTTATTCTTCATTTTTTTCAAAGTAATAGAACTGAAAAGTTTCTGGAAAAGCACGTGGTTTGACAAAACACTGAAGATTGATGAAATACTCATTCAATACCAAAGGAAAAAAGGTAGCGGGAGGGAGAAGCTACACAGAAGTATTTTTCTTCATATTTTTCCCACTGGCAACCTAGACTGGAGAAACAGAAAGGATTATTTTGTGAAATGGTGGCATACTGGTACTTCAGCTTCCTGTACGCTAGGTCATGGCAGATGGTGAACCACCCATTAGAAAAAACAAACGCCTGGTGCTTAAAGGGAGGCTAGAGGCTTTTTTGGAGTTGAAGGAGTTCAGTGGGTGGAAGGGTGGGCAGAGAGGGGTAGACAGAAGGATGACCTGATACATATGAATTATTGCTGTTACCTACTGTGTGTTACGCGCCAATTCCTAATGTAGCTCTGCTCTGGACTATTAGGTTTGCACCCTAGAAAAAGGAATACAAACAGTTGTGAGACCAAGGAGGAAAGTATATGGTGTGTGAGCAGGAACTTTTATAAACTTCAACTCGTGTCTGCGTTACGGTTCGAAGGAGAATTCCAACAGTGCTTCCGAACCTTAGAATCTGTGCACTCCCGTACATTGGGTATTGTTCAATTTTGCAAGGCTAAATAACCAACTTTTCGAGTGAATTAGAGACAAAATAATTCTTTCCTAAGTCTTCCTAATATATTTGCCTATTCAATACTTTAGTTATAAATAAAAAAGGATTCAATCAATGAGCGGTTTAAGATACTACTAATACAGTTCTATGCTTCAAGTGATAATGAGGTGGTTGTTGGAAACTCATTTCTACTTCCTGCAAACGCTTTGTGCTTGCTCAGCAATATGGCTACAGATCAACTTCTGTGGTTATTTCAGAGGCAAATAAATGTTGAATGAATGAATGTTCTTGTGGTTGATGAGTTTGGAAAAAAAAAATTTTGGAATGACTGTTCATAGGACATCATCCATTGGACTCCCCTACCAATATATTTATATTTGCTAGGCGTCTCTGATAAGAGATCCAGATGCACTTTTTATTGCAAATCCTTCAGGGTTCTGTAAGAATAGCACAAAAGGATGTTTATGTATGCTAGAGATACAGTTTAAACTCCATGCATACATATTTTTGAACTGTGGCTTGCAGCTATTCAACTCTTCCAGACAAGGCCCTGAAGAACCTTATCTAATGTAGCATTTAGCTATGCTTTGAGCAGATGACTGGACTTCATCGCCTCTAGACAACCTTTCCATGTGAAATTGTTCAATGACTACAGTCTGTGACTATAATCTATACAGTCAAGGTATATGTTATGATCTGCAGGCAAATTTATTGTAAGGGCACATGGAGAAGCCACCATTGCAGTCTGCAGAACCACTTTCGTAGTGTCTGGTTTCCTAGGGAGTTCCCAGTTTCCTGTATACATTTTTGTTTCGTTTTTGTTAAAGGAGATAGGAAATACCTCTTCCCCAAAGCATGTCTCAACATCTGCTTGCTTGCAGCACTTGTCTACCATGGCAGTGAAACCACCAATAATTGTCTTTATTTGTTCTTCTGTCATCTGGGGCTTGCGTTTAATGAGGTTGATAAGCAATCTGAAAACAAAGCCACAATACACAGTTAATGCTACTTGTTGTAGTTCGATTTCCCAATTTAAAATACACCATTCTATGCAGGTACGGCTATATTTTTTTTTTTGTCATGTCTAGAGGAGTCTGTGGCTATTTGTGACTCCAGACTCCAACTCTACCACAACCATCTCTGCGCTTTTTGTTCTCCTGGTTGCAGGCGGGGGAAAAGCTTATTGAAATCAATATGTATTAATTAAGACAACATACAGATAAGACTTGCACTGGCAGGGGCCCTATGTGAAACTGGTCAGCAAAGACACTGATTTTATTTGAAGAAAATACCCTGTTTTGGCTCTTC